TTCTTCTTCTTCTCCTCTCTCTCTCTCTCTCTCTCTCTCTCTCTCTCTCTCAGAGTGTCATCAATTATCCATTGATATTTCATCTATATTTGATCATTTCATTGAAATTTTTATGAATAAATTGATTGTCGGCATGTTTTTTTTTTTTTTTTAAATATCCTTCTGAATCTCATACATATTGTAGTGTGGTACTTTTATTACTTCTTTTTTTTTTTTTTTTTTAGTCTCATTAATTTAAGCCGACAAAAGAAAAGAGGGTAAAAATAGAAGGGAAAGATTTGATTTTTCCCATTTACAGGAAATGATCAAAATCTATTTAGGAGATAAAGCACAGAAACATTCTGTAGTTAGTAGTAGTGATGGATACGGTATGATTTAACTTTCATGTTGATCGGAGACAACAGTTTGAAGTGCTTGTTGGGTGGTGATGCTGATGATGATGATGATGATGATGATGATTAGCCAATTGATGTTTTTTTGATTATAGTGTGCAAGGAAAAAAAAATTGGGTGATGCTGATTGACCTTGATGACGACATGCCGCCTTTTATTCTTTCCGTCACTTTCTCTTTGTCTCCTCAAATTTGTACTTTCCATATGTCTTAATTTAAACTAATTAACTACCTCTTTTTTTGCTTCTTTTCTCTTTCTCTCTCTCTCTCTCTCTCCTCTCTCCTTTTTTTTAAATATTCACATAATGAAAGGATTGCAAGTGACGACAGGTAGGGGAAAAAAAAGAAAGAAAGAAAGAAAGAAATGATGCGGAAAGTTGTGATCATTTTTTAAATCAAATATTAATTTACTATTCAAAATCTTATCATACATTCTTGAAATTTCTGTTTTTTTTTTCTATTTTTCAGTATTAGCATTACAACAAGATACGGTGCTACGTTGTACAACACCAGGCTGTACGGGTAAAGGTCATGTGAATAGTAATCGAACATCACATCGAAGTTTGTCTGGATGTCCAATCGCTTATCAACAAAAATTAGCTCGAAAGAGTGAATGAATCATTCATGCTTTTTTTTTTCTTCTCTCGTTATTTTGAGAGGAGATAGAAATTTTAATTTAAAATGAAATATCAAATTGGAATTGTAATCCTATAAAAAGTTTATTTGTAACTCTTTTATTAATTGCAAAAAAAAAGTAAATAAGGAATAATTTTGAAAAATAATGATTCAATAATTTCTTTAAGAAAAAAGAAAAAAAGAAATTAATATAACTAAATCACTGTGACATTTTTTTTTATTTTTAGGTATGCGTCATATGTCTCATCATGTGACCGTAGCAGCAGCTTCAACATCTTCAACCAATATGAATGTATCAATGGTTATACGACCATCAATTACATCAACCAATAGCAGTAGTAATAATAAAATGTTAACAACTACAGATGAAATACCACTTGATTTAACACTTCGAAAATCCAATCAAAAATTCGCAGAAAAAAGGTACACTTTATAAAGTTGGATTTATTAATTGATAAAAAAAAAAAAGTACCTTGGTAGTAATTTATCCTTTCATAACGTATGTTATTGATCGTTTTTCATATTATATCTTTTGAATTATAACTGGGGGATTCTTTCTGATAGTTTATGTACATTTCTTTTAGTGATATGTATATGAGATTTCTTCATATCCTCTCTTCATTCTACTAATTATCAATAATTTGTGATAAGATAATTTTGTCTGTCTGAAGTTTCCTTTTAGTGATATATAGGTATAAATGAGATTTCTTCATATCCTCCATCTTACTAATTATCAATGATTTGTGATAATTTTGTCTGTCTGAAGTTTCTTTTAGTTGATAT